TGGTAACAGCTGGCAGGGAAAAAAAAAAAGAAGGGGAAGAAAAAGCTCTCCCCCTCCCAGGTGTCCTTGAAAAGTTAACTTGCCTAGAACAGAGGAAAAAACAGAAACAAAAACTGCTTTTTATAAACTTCTGCAGACTGTGAACTTCTGAGCCCCTTCCCTTACATGTTGGGTACAAAGTTCTGAAACTACCTAAACTTGGGGTTCAGGGGATTAATTGATTACAACAGAAGCAATGCCCTCTGAATCCGGTTGCAATCAAATAGGACTGTTTCCCTGTCTTTGGTACTATCTTAGGTGCCTTGCCTTGTCCGTTCCTACAACAGTATAATTCTATATACTTGAACATTGATTATGTTTTCATAAAATGGTCAACAGATGTAATTAATTATGTAATGGTATAGATGCTTCCCAGAGTATTCTATCATGACGCAGGTTCATTTGAAGATCAAATAGGGGGGCATACAACCCGGTTTCGCCGGGAACCTGTATCCCTCACTTTAGCTATCCTATTAGGAATAGGAGTTGCTACAGGGGTGGGCACAGGAACCACTGCCCTGGTCCATGGGACACAACAAATGACCCAATTAGAAGCAGCAATAGACCAAAACTTAAAGATATTAGAAATCCATCACAGCTTTGCAGGAATCTTTAACCTCTCTCTCTGAAGTTGTTTTACAGAACAGGTGAGGGTTGAACCTCCTCTTCATGAGAGAAGAGGGCCTTTGTGCTGCATTGAGGGAAGAATGTTGTTTTTATGCCGACCATGATGGAGTTGTAAAAGAATCTATGAATAAATTAAGTAGACGCCTTGAAGAGCGTCAGCAAGAGAGAGAGGCCCAAAAAGGGTGCTAAGAGTCGTGGTTCACACAGTCCCCCTGGTTAACTACGTTTTTATCAGCCCTGGCCGGTCCATTAATAATCCTTATATTGTTGCTAACTATAGGACCCTGTTTGCTCAACCGTGTACTTTCCTTTCTCCAAGCCCAAATTGGACAAGTCAAACTTATGGTAATCAGACAACATTATTCCCCACTAGCAGACATAGAATGTGACACCCCCCAATGATCACTTTTATGATTAAAAGTATCCAGAAGAAGAAGTGGAAAATGAAAGGTTAATAATCTTGAGAACTGTTTGCTAATCTTGTTCCCAGAATGTGCTGTCCCTCAACTGCCAAACTGCAGAATGTACTCCCTCACCCAGTTGCAGGCAAACCACCCACTCGCCCTGACCCGGCAATGAACTTCCCTCCCTGCCCTCTCCAAGAAAAGTATATAAGCTCTGCTTAAGCTGTTCTCAGGGCTCGCTCTCTTTGCTCTATTCAAGTGAGCTCTGAGCCCCAGCATGCTGGACCCCAAATAAACCCCTTGCTGTTGCATGAGACAGTCTCTTGGTGGTCTCTTTCTCTGATGCTCGCCCGACCTTTACATTTGGAGGTTCCACCGAGATCTGGCAGTGGCGGACGAAAAACCCCCAACAGGCTCCTCTCGGGGTAAGTAAGGTGCCTCTTTCTGGTTTCTGATTTCTGGTTTCAGGTTTCAGGAGGGCTTGGCAAAGTGGCTGTTGGTGAAGAGCGTGAGCTCTCTCCGACAGTGGCTGACATACGTGTCACAGAACCACAGGCCACATTCCTGGGGGACGCCCCAGAGGACTTGGGAAATTAAGGAACAGTAGTTTCCTTGACTCAGTATTCTGCAGTATTCTGCTTCGGATTCGGTTTGCCAGCCCATCAGGTTTTGCTGGCTACTCAGTTCTGGTCTCTGTCTCAAATTTGTGTTGAATGTTTACTGTCTGTCTTTATCATCTGTGTTGTGTGTCCTTGCTTTCACTGTTTGTGTATCTTTCATTATGGGACAGAGCACTTCAACGCCTCTGTCCCTGTCCCTTGATCACTGGACCGAAGTCCGCTTAAGGGCTCAGAATCTTTCTTTTTCAGTAAAACGCCGGACCTGGCAGACTCTCTGTGCCTCAGAATGGCCCACCTTTGGAGTCGGATGGCCCCCAGAAGGATCTTTCTACTCCCCACTAATTCAAAAAGTCAGAGATATTGTCTTTCAGCTGGGGCCACATAGCTATCCAAATCAACAGCTGTATATCTTAACTTGGCAGGACCTCTGCGAATCTCCTCCTCCATGGGTGAAGTCTTTCCTTGTCCTTGCCCCCGCTCCTACTCCTTCCCCCACAATTCTATCTCTCAAACCCTCTGCTCCTCCTCCTCCACCCTCTGTTCTCCCTGAGTCTCAAGATTTGACTCTACTGGACTCTCCTCCCCCTCCTTATCCCCTGCCCTCGTCCTCCAACCCCCAACACCCTCTAAGTGATTCCCCTGCTGCTGACTCAGCCTCTCCACCATTGGAGGAAGCTGAGCCAGCCCAGCGCCCTCCAGATGACTCCCCCGGGGCACACACAGCTCCTCCTCCCCTGGAGGAAACTGGCCCGACTAAAGGAACTCGCCGGCGGCAAATGATTAAAAACCCTGAAGACCCCATGATATTCCCCCTCCGTCCTTACGGGCCAATAATAGAGGATAGCCATGGTGGAGAAATGCAAGCCTACCAGTATTGGCCTTTCTCCTCTTCAGATTTATATAACTGGAAAAATAACAATCCCCCTTTTTCCGAGGACCCCACCCAGCTCACAGGTCTGATTGAGTCATTGATGTTTTCACACCAGCCTACTTGGGATGACTGCCAACAACTCCTAGGCACTCTCTTCATGACAGAGGAATGAGAGAGAATCCTCCTGGAAGCTAGAAAAAATATCCTCGGACCAGATGGGCGACCGACACAACTTCCCAACATAATCGAAGCCGACTTCCCCTTGAACCGACCCAACTGGGACCCCAACACCTTTGAAGGTAGGGAACATCTTTCCACTTATCGCCGGGCTCTAATAGCTGGTCTCTGAGCAGCCGCTAGACGGCCAACTAATTTGGCCAAGGTAAGAGAGATTATTCAAGGGCCTAATGAATCTCCCTCTATGTTTCTGGAGAGAATTATGGAGGCATATAGGAGATATACTCCTTTCGATCCTCAGGCAGAGGATCAAAAGGCATCTGTCATGATGGCTTTTATTGGGCAAGCTGCCCTGGATATTAAAAGAAAGTTACAATGCTTAGATGGATTACAAGATATGACTTTGAGAGATTTAGTCAGAGAAGCCGAGAAGGTATACTATAAGAGAGAAACTGAGGAAGAGAAGGAACAAAGGAGGGAGAAAGAAAGGTAGCAAAGGGAGGATGAGAGAAGCAAAAGACAAACTGAGGCATTGATTAAGGTCCTGGTCACAACAAATAGGCCAGAAATTAAGAAACAGGGAGACAGGAAGGGATACCTGGGCCCACGCCAAAGGCCACCCCTGGCCTCAAATCAATGTGCCTACTGTAAAGAAAAAGGACACTGAGCCAAAGAGTTCCCTAAAAAGAGATAGCCACGCCAGCCAGCCATTCTGACTCTGGAGGATGACTAGGAAAGTCGGGGCTCAGATCCCCTCCCCAAGCTCAGGGTAACTTTTGAAGTGGAAAAGACCCCAGTAAACTTTGAAGTGGATACAGGGGCAATATACTCAGCCCTTAAGGCCCCATCGGGCCCTCTATCAAATAAAAGGTCTCTAGTTCAAGGGGCTAATGGCAGTAAATATCGGGCTTGGACAACTAAGAGGACCATGGACCTGGGGAAAGGAAAAGTCCATCACTCCTTCCTAGTGATCCCAGAATTCCCAGCCTCATTGATGGGCAGAGATCTGTTCACCAAGCTCCGGGCCAGAATAACTTTTAATCCTGAAGGCCCCCAAATGTAATTTCTAAATCCTTCAGTAAAAACTCCTATAGTCATGGCTTTAACTATATCAGTAGAAGATGAACATCAACTCTTTACACCCCCAAGACTGATCAAACAGGCAAGCTACCCCAGAAATGGATAACAGATTACCCAGATGCCTCGGTAGAAACTGCTGGGTTAAGCCTAGCTGTGAAACAACCTCCAATAACAGTGGAGTTAAAAACCTCAGCCTCCCCAATCAATGTCAAACAATATCCTCTGAGCAAAGAAGCTAAAGATGGGAGAAGGCCCCATATTTAGAAATATCTGGCCTTAGGGGTCCTAAGGCCCTGTCAATCAGCCTGGAACATTCCCCTGCTACCAGTAAAAAAGCCAGGAACCATGGACTATCGCCCCATTCAAGACCTAAGAGAGGTCAACAACAGAGTGCAGGACATTCACCCCACGGTACCTAATCCGTACAATCTGCTTAGCACTCTGAACCCTGAATGAAAATGTTCTGGACTTAAAAGATGCTTTCTTTTGCTTGCCTCTGCATAAAGATAGTCAGTTGTTGTTTGCTTTTGACTGGGTAGACCCAGAAACCGGAACGTCTAGTCAACTAACTTGGATCAGACTCCCACAGGGGTTCAAAAACTCCCCCATTCTCTTTGATGAAGTCCTCCACAAGGACCTAAATGACTTCAGAACTGTGCACCCAGAAGTCACACTACTCCAATATGTGGATGACCTGCTGCTGGCAGCCAACACCAAGGAAAACTGTGAGTCTGGGACCCAAGCACTACTATCCGAGCTTGCTCAACTCGGGTATAGAGCTTCTGCCAAAAAGGCCCAAATTTGCCAGCAAGAAGTAATCTTCCTGGGCTATTCCCTTAGGGCCAGTAAACAATGGCTCACTGAGCCCAGAAAATAAACCGTTGTGCAGATACCACCCCCATCTAACAGGAGGGCGGATGAAGAAGCTAAATTGGCAGCCCTAAACGGAGTAACCATGTTAACACTTTTCACACCAGGGGAACATAAGTCAGGACATTTAACTACGTCAGAGCACCCCAACAACTTAACATCTAAGGACACTGACACTGAACTCCTCGACTTCACTGAGCCCAGTCTGCAATTTCAGAAAGCCCTACACTACGTTAAAAATGTACATCAACTCACTCACCTTGGTTCAAAGAAATTGCACGCATTCCTGAAGGATCAAGAACAGAGTCTTCCACTAACCGGCTCACAGCGAAAAGAAATATCTGAAAGGGTAACAAAAGCCTGTCGGGTCTATCGATTGGTTAATGCTTACTCTTCCAAGCTTCCTGCAGGAAAGCACCTACGAGGAACCAGACCAGGACAATTCTGGGAAATGGACTTTACTGAAATTAAGCCAGCAAGGTATGGACTTAAATATCTCCTAATCTTTGTAGATACATTTTCAGGATGGATTGAAGCCTTCCCCACAAAAAACGAAATGGCGCAAATGGTGGTCAAGAAGATCCTGGAAGATATTTTTCCAAGATACAGCCTGCCTAAGGTAATAGGGTCTGATAATGGACCAGCATTCGTGGCCCAGGTAAGTCAGGGGTTAGCCAGGACCCTGGGGATTAATTGGAGGTTACATTGTGCTTATCGACCCCAGAGTTCAGGACAGGTAGAAAAAATGAATAGAACCATTAAAGAGACCTTAACGAAATTAAGCTTAGAGACCGGCATAAAAGATTGGACTATGCTCCTGCCTTATGCACTGTTTCGTGCAAGAAATACTCCCTCTGTTTCTTTGTGTAACCTCACCCCCTATGATATTCTCTATGGTGCCCCTCCTCCAGTAAGGGACCTAATCCCAACTCTAAGACCTAACGATTCCTTTCACACCCCCTTGCTTGACAGACTTAAAGCTCTTGAAAGAACCCAGCGATACCTGTGGAAACAGCTGGCCACTGCCTACCAACGTGGGGATGAAGGGACTCCACACCGATATCAAGTGGGAGACTTCATCTATGTAAGACGACATCAGGTGTCATCCCTAGAACTCCACTGGAAAGGACCATACCAGGTGCTACTTATAACACCTACAGCAGTAAAGGTAGATGGAATCACTTCCTGGATCCATGCCTCTCATCTCAAGCCTGCGCCCTGTCCAGACTCTGGATGGAAACTGAAAAAAACTGGTAACCTTCTCAAATTGCGTATTCGCCGTGTGGATAGGGCTATGGACTCTCCCCTTGACCACCAGTAGTCCTAACCCTCATCAGCCCGTTCAGCAGTGATGGCTAATCACAAATCCTACTGGACAAGAAATATGGTCCATCTCGCCTACAGCCCCCTTAGGGACCTAATGGCCATCTCTTCACCCAGACATTTGTCAGCTGGCTATGTCTTTCCTATTGGGATATCCCTGATGAAGAGGATCCCACTAAAATTCCATTAAATCCCTTCCATACCATAGATAATGAAAACAAACATTATGGATGTAGGGACACTCGAGCCAGATGCAGGTTGGCTAGCCTAGATTACTATGTTTGCCCGGCGGACTATCGAAGCCACAAACAGTCACAGCTTGTATGGGGGAGAAACCGACTTCTTCTGTAAGTCATAGGGATGTGAGCATACAGGGGCTTCCTAATTGAACCCAAACTCCTCATCAAATTCAGTACACAGCATTGGCCATATTACCAATTAGATAACCAAAACCGATGGCCCCCAGAGGGGTCTCCAGATCCTCAAATTCTGCGTGACCTTTTTAACTTCTGCAAGTGCTCAAAAGGGTGAAAGGAGATTCCCCTATGTGGAGGCCTTTTCCCTCCTTCGCTCACATTCTGAACTATGCTTCTCCAAAACATCCTCACCCTCAGCCTTCTGCTCCAGACTCTCTGCTGTCACTCCCACCTCAGCAACCTGATTTCTCCCCTCCAATCTCTAGATCAAAAACCCAAACCTCAGCCGGTTCTCAGACCATTGCCCCCTTGCTGAGGTAGCAGGTACTGAGGTACCTGGTACTGAGGTACCTCTCCACCCATTCACTCCTCTCTTCTCCTGTCAGTGCCCATACCGGGTCCCACCAGGTCCTCTTACCAGCTAACCCAAAGCTCAAACCAGCTGAAAAGAGCCCTCAGACCCCTATCCAAGATGTAATGAAAATGACCTTTAAAGTTGCTTTGTCATCACTGAAAACAGGTTACTAAGAATTTAAAGTCCCTCACAGGCTTTTTGGGATACTCACTCCCGTCTTCCCCTCTGCTCTACCTGTTCTACTACTCAAGTTTTTGTTGCTAGGAAAATCCCAAACCGCTTTCCCATTATCCACAGAGCTACTCTCAGCCCCGCCTTCCCCATCTTCCCCCTCTGTACCAGGCCCACAAAAAAGTCTTAACTGATCTTCTCCAGAAGTCTTCACCATGGCTGACTTTAGGACTTTCAGCAAAAGAGTCCCTATAAAAGAGTTCAGTATAGATAAACTTCCTCTTTTTATGTTGCTCTGTTCTACTTGGCCACTGGCTAGAAAAATCAGCATTCCTAAGCTAGACACCCGCTTACTAGTTTTTCACAAAATATGTGAACAAGGCCTCTGGCCTTGAGCTGGGGCTTCACAGAGATGGCTACATTTCTAAGATAAAAAGTTATCAATTGGGCTCCATGGTAACAGCTGGCAAGGAAAAAGAAAAAACTCTCCCCCTCCCAGGTGTCCTTGAAAAGTTAACTTGCCTAGAACAGAGGAAAAAACAGAAACAAAAACTGCTTTTTATAAACTTCTGCAGACTGTGAACTTCTGAGCCCCTTCCCTTACATGTTGGGTACAAAGTTCTGAAACTACCTAAACTTGGGGTTCAGGGGATTAATTGATTACAACAGAAGCAATGCCCTCTGAATCCGGTTGCAATCAAATAGGACTGTTTCCCTGTCTTTGGTACTATCTTAGGTGCCTTGCCTTGTCCGTTCCTACAACAGTATAATTCTATATACTTGAACATTGATTATGTTTTCATAAAATGGTCAACAGATGTAATTAATTATGTAATGGTATAGATGCTTCCCAGAGTATTCTATCATGACGCAGGTTCATTTGAAGATCAAATAGGGGGGCATACAACCCGGTTTCGCCGGGAACCTGTATCCCTCACTTTAGCTATCCTATTAGGAATAGGAGTTGCTACAGGGGTGGGCACAGGAACCACTGCCCTGGTCCATGGGACACAACAAATGACCCAATTAGAAGCAGCAATAGACCAAAACTTAAAGATATTAGAAATCCATCACAGCTTTGCAGGAATCTTTAACCTCTCTCTCTGAAGTTGTTTTACAGAACAGGTGAGGGTTGAACCTCCTCTTCATGAGAGAAGAGGGCCTTTGTGCTGCATTGAGGGAAGAATGTTGTTTTTATGCCGACCATGATGGAGTTGTAAAAGAATCTATGAATAAATTAAGTAGACGCCTTGAAGAGCGTCAGCAAGAGAGAGAGGCCCAAAAAGGGTGCTAAGAGTCGTGGTTCACACAGTCCCCCTGGTTAACTACGTTTTTATCAGCCCTGGCCGGTCCATTAATAATCCTTATATTGTTGCTAACTATAGGACCCTGTTTGCTCAACCGTGTACTTTCCTTTCTCCAAGCCCAAATTGGACAAGTCAAACTTATGGTAATCAGACAACATTATTCCCCACTAGCAGACATAGAATGTGACACCCCCCAATGATCACTTTTATGATTAAAAGTATCCAGAAGAAGAAGTGGAAAATGAAAGGTTAATAATCTTGAGAACTGTTTGCTAATCTTGTTCCCAGAATGTGCTGTCCCTCAACTGCCAAACTGCAGAATGTACTCCCTCACCCAGTTGCAGGCAAACCACCCACTCGCCCTGACCCGGCAATGAACTTCCCTCCCTGCCCTCTCCAAGAAAAGTATATAAGCTCTGCTTAAGCTGTTCTCAGGGCTCGCTCTCTTTGCTCTATTCAAGTGAGCTCTGAGCCCCAGCATGCTGGACCCCAAATAAACCCCTTGCTGTTGCATGAGACAGTCTCTTGGTGGTCTCTTCCTCCGACACTCGCCCGACCTTTACAGTACAATAAAATAAAGTGGAAGGATAAGTTCATAAAGGATAAGTAGTAAATATGTTCAAAAGTAAGAATCACATATAATTAACTAAGAGTTAAGAAATGAGGGGCTGGGATTGTGGCTCAGAGGTAGAACACTTGCCTAGCATGAATGAGGTGCTGGGTTCAATCCTAAGCACCACATAAAAAATAGATATTGTGTCAATCTATAACTAAAAAAATTAATATTTTTTTAAAAAGAAATGATTTTTGGAAAAGAAAAATGATATGCAAATAATGAGCCATCTGATAAAGAAAGAGAATAAAACAAATGCATAAGTAAAATAAAGGGGATATAACCACATTTATGGGAGAGATATTTAGAATGGCAAGAAATAGGATATGTAAGTCTACATGAATAAATCTAAAATAAATTTAAAATACTACATATTCAAATGTTAAAAGTAAAATACTCTAGTGTCACAAGTAAATTCTGCATAATATTTTTATGTGTTGAAGTAGTCTAATTATTTTTTATGAGCATGACACCAAATTCAGAAATAATAAAATATTTATAATAAAGTACCTTAAAAAGGCAAAGGATTACTACATATAAAAACATACAAAAGAAAAGACATAACAAACAGCAAACTGGTAAACTCTCTTTGTAACATACATAAGGATCCAAATGTTAATCTCCTTATTAAAGACTTCTTAGGAGCCAATAAAAAATACAACCTATTTAACAATAGACAAATTAAATAAACAGACAACTTACAGGACAACTAAATATTTTTTGCAAACATCATAGAGTATACCTACAATAAAATGGAGATGGAATGATGCTCTACATTGTTAAAAGAACACCAGAAAAGAAAAACATAAAAAAGAAACAAAAACAACTTTGAGGGATCAATGTTTACCAAACATGAAAAAATTAAAAGATAAATAACGCATAATATTATGGAGGATATGGGAAAACAAGCTCTCTTATCCAGTACACATTAGTATTAACTGGTCCATCTCTTCTGGTAAGCAGTTTTGTAATGTTTCAAATATTTAAATATATATACTCTAATTCAACCATTCAAATTCTAGAAGTTTAAAACATATATATGCAAACATAGTCACTACAACATTAATTATAATAGTAAAAACTGGAAACTAAATATTCTTCAATAGGTTTGGTTATACATACATATATAAAATTTATAAAAAATGAATTATGTGTGTTTGGTAAGGATAAAGGACTAAATTTGGCCTAATGCCTATTTTATGAATAAATATTAGTTGGATTACAAACACACCCATTTATTTACTTATTGGTTATGGCTGCTTTTGAAATTAAAAATAGAAATAAGTAGTTATGGCAGAGATCATGTAGCTTAAAAACCTTATAATTATAATCTATGTATCTGGCTCTTCACAGAAAGTTTGCCAATCTGTACTCTACTGATACAGGTTTCACTGTTACTACATAGCAGCAACAATAATCAATTCATAGATAGATAAAGAGATATTCTAATATTTTTAAATAAAGGCTTCAAAAGTAAACTTCAGTGGTTTAATACATGGAAATACTATATTAAATCACTGATCCAAACATATTTTTTCAAAATACACATCACCATAAAGATATAAATGTCCAGTGCAAAGATGATAGAGCTAAGTCTACACTAAGTAAATAAATGTGCAATATTTTACATCAACCATTACTTTTTGCAAACATTGTAGAATATACCTACACAAACCTAGACAGTATATTCTACTTAGTACATGCCAAGGCCACTCGATATAGTCTTCTGCTCCAATGCTACAAACCTATACAGCATGTTACTGTACTGACTATTGTAACCAATTGTAATACAATGATAGTTATGTATCTAAACACATCTATACCTAGAAAATTTAAAGTAAAATTCTAGGCAACAGAACTTTTTCAGTTCCATTAAAATCTTATGGGAGACAATCACATATACAGTACATAATTGACCAAAATCATCATTATGTAGAGCATGACTATTTCATTGCATTTCCTCCATAGATGAATTTTCTGTGGTTAGCTTTTTTCTTTTAGAAGTTAAGTAGAAGAAAACTAACATTTTTTGGATTAATATATTAAAGGACATGTTGTTAAATATGTATGCCAGAATGTACAATAGAACATCAATTCTGAAAATGGACATATTCTTCTAGTTAATTTTCTATTCAAGTTGTTCTATTAAAATGATTCTTTTCATAATGTAGTGAAATCTTAAAATGGAATTCACAGAAATGTGGATGTGTATGACTGAATTATCACCTAATTGAATGCAATAACTTCTGATTATCATTGACATGGTTGGAAGTACTGTAATTTATCATAATACATTTTTATTGTAATCTTTTCTGTTATAGCCAAAACAGTATTGGAGTGGTAGAGTTCAAAAATGAAAAAAAATTAACATAACTTCATATTTTAAATCATTCAAGAGCACCTTATTTACTCACATATAGTCCCCTCTTGTATATTTTCCCACTACCAGGTTTTAGAAGAAAATATTCGACATTTCTCTCCACAAAGTTCTTTCCCAGTGGGCTATTACTAATATCAACAAAAGCAGCAGGAAATCCTATGATTTGGAAAGAGAAATTGAACAGGCACGAATGACCCCTGTTTGCTTAGAGTCAAATGAAGTGTTTACCTCTATACGCAACAGTTTTAGAGAATTTTCAGGAGGAAAATTATGCTTTAAATCAGTACTCTTCAAATCCTGTCTCTTAGAATACTAGAGTTCTGTTGTAGTGCTTCAAGAGCTATTCAAAAATTTAAATTTCTTAAAAAATACATTTTAACTATTTTTTAAATTGTTAACTAAAAAGATACATGAGTTCTCAATCAAATTTGGATACATTGGAGACCATCAAATCGATTTCCTTGGGCTTCTAATTTTTGTACAGGCTTTAAAGTCTCCTACCTTCCATGCCCCTCACTGCCTGCTTACTCTGCATGTCCTTGAGTATTAGAAAGGTGTCATCACTTGGATCTGTAGTCAGACACTGCTTGTTTTATTTTCAATCCATATTGATACATATTGATTCCTGTAAATTACAGGTGAGTACAGATTGGTCACAAACACTATGCGTTCTAGTTAGTTTTCTGCATGCTGCCTTCTGTTTTATGTAAAAACTGCTTGCCTTCTTCCGGGCATCGTTTTCTATGCTGACTATTGGAAGTCCTTAAAGCAGTGACAGAGATATTCTGAAAC